GTGCAGATAGGTTTGGTTTAAAACTTTTTAAACGGGAGAAGTTTCGTGGTTGGATATTTGTCAACCCGTATGATGTTCATAAGGCTCAAGATTCTATTTGGAAGCACGGCTACGTTGTCAGGAAAAACAATATGGAATGTACTAGGTTCACGCCGAATTTCCCTCAAGACCCCAACATCGCTAAGCTTTGGGTGTTATACCGCTACTCTATAGTTGTTGAAGGAGATGTGAAAAAAGGTCTATTCATCATGCTGTACAAGCCAAAAACCATTGCCATAGGTGATGATGAATAATTTTCTTACATTGTCAAACTTTATATTCATATATATGCTTATCAGTTATCATCTTCTTGTTTTTAGCTGAATGTGAAATGCTCGCTCCTCTTACCACAGAACGTAGTGTAACCATCCTCACAGCTGATACCTTTGATGGTACTGTTTTTGATGCAGAAAAGTATGCCTTGGTCATGGTTTTCAAACCAGGGTAAGTTTTTTCTTTCAGATTCAGTATGCCCTGGTCATGTTTAAAATGTTGTATGCATTGTTTGGAAGCTTGATATTCACTGTTTTTTCTTTGTATCAGGTGTAACCTGTGCAATACCTTAGCTCAGGTAAAAACGCTTATCTTTTGATCTATTAAATGTTATTTTCATATGGTTTATTAGTTATTTTCTTCCTTCTTTTGTTTTGTTAATTATTTTCTTCTTCTTTATCATTAGACTTATAAAAAAGTTGCAGCAGTTTTTCACAACTATGATCATTTAGTTCTCGCATCAATTGATGTTTCAGCAGACAGACACATCGAGATATGCACGGAGTAAGTGCTTCAACATTTTAAATAACCAACATTTTATAGACACCAAAGATATAAAACGAGTCTATTCACTATATTTTCAGACTTGGTGTAAAGACATACCCTGCAGTAATGTTCTTTCATGAGTCAGCAGGAGAGGTTATCGAGAATGGCTGGCTGTTTGACTTGGAAGATTTTATAAGCTTGATAAAAGTCAGAATTGGCCTTCAGAGAGTATGTGAATCCATATATGCCGTTTCCTTATGAGCTTCTTATTTGTTATTTCTATTTGGCTTTATTTCGTGCTGGTGATATCTGGGGATTTAGTTTACTTAAGAGATTCTTGATCTTTTAGATGAATTTGGCACGGTTTCTTGTTGTTCTGCATTGATCTTTTGTTGCCTTTTTCATGATCTCTTATGTTCATATTGTGAACAAGTTATTCAGATTTTATAGTTTGTGCTTTGGGATTTTCCCCAATTCTTCCGTTCTGATACAAATTTCCGGAATTTTATCTTGTATTTGGCTTCCTTTCTTGCTGGTGTTCTCTGGGATTTAGTTTACTAGGAGATTCTTGATATTTTAGTTGAATTTGGCATGGTTTCTTGTTGTTTTGCATTGATCTTCTGTTGCTTGTGTCATGATATTCATATTTCGTATTGTGAACAAGTTATTCTGATTTTATAGTTTGTGCATTGGGATATTCCCCAATTCTTCTGGTCTGATACAAATGAAATTTCCCGAATTATCTTGCAGATTGTTAATGAAGTGCAACATCCACCAGCTGATGGTGTTGAGCATTTCGACCCTTCGGCTGTGGCTGTATCACAGTACCCAGAGACCGAATGCAGTCTCTGGGACTGCAAGAGGAGGGTTCCCACTGAAACAGGTGTTTACTGTTGTGAGGATGACCGGATTATAGCTGAGCGGGACAGTACAATCCAATGCCCAATCGTCATTCCAAATTTCTCTGACATTGAGGGCTTGGAACCCATGTGCTTGGATGTACTCACCTCTTTGAAGGGGAAT